GACCCCGCGCGGCGCTGCAGAAGCCGCCTCTCAGACACCCCGAAATCGCAAGCCGGCAAAGCCTCTACACCCCTGGACGAGGATCAGTCGGTCCAATGTCGGGCGGTGGGGAAAAAAAAAAAAGAACGGCTGCGCGGGATCGGGCTGGGGATCGACGCGGCAGTCAAAAGCGATGGTTTTCTTGCGCAGGCTACAATCAAACTGAAAAGAAAGGGGTGGGGATAGAAATAGGGCGATGTGACCCACAAAGGGGAGAACGCACGACGGATTCATCAGGGGAAGCCTACCTAAGAGGTTGTGGGTTCCCCTTTAGTAACACCTACATCATCATTTTTTCTTTTTCTTTTTTTATTGTTATCGCAGTCTCTTTCTTGCGCCTCCCCCCGTAATACCCCTGTAGTACTTAATCGATAACCTTAGAAAAGATTTTACAAAATTGCTCATAAAACACATACAGCAAGACCGATCGTGGTGTGGAATGGATGATCGAAGGGACGATCCCGCGATACAAATCCCATACCCCCCCCCGCCTCCACGCGAGGTTGAAGGATTGTACAAAGCGTCGGTACTGCACGTCGCCGTGGAGGGCGCGGTAGTCTTGCATTCGCGTTTTCAACACGGCGATCGGGTGCGTAAAGACCGAGAGGATCATCTTCGCCGACGTCGAGCAGAGAAAAATCTCCCACAGCGTCAGGGGCTCCCCTCGCGCGGCGGCCGTCAGGTGGAGCTTCAGCGTCTCATACAACGGCAGGTTGAAGGCGTTGGGGACGCTCAGCAGCACCTGCGCGGAGACCCCCCGCCAGAGCGACAACACCCCGGCCGTCCGCACCGCGTAGGCGAGGCCCCTGGAAAAGCTCGGGTAGCACCTCGGCCTCGGGGGGCCCGCCGCCGCGGCGGCGCGAGAGCCGTACTCCTCGATCTGCATGCGGGTTTTGAGAAGCCAAATCGGATTGCACGCGACGGCCGAGGCCGCACTCGCGAGGATCGAAATCCCGGCCCGCCGGGTGAAGTGGTGCAGGGCGGCAGAAACCCCGCCCGAATCCTTTCCTCCCGAGGTTAAATCGGCCGGGGCGAGAAGCGGCGCGAGCTGCGCGGTATACCCTTCCAATAGCTGGCGGTAAAGGTACATATAAATCCCCCACGCGGCGACGGACCCGAGGACCGCGACGTGGCAGCCGCGGAAGAAGGCCCCCCCCCCTTCCGCCGCGTAGATCGCCCGGGCCGAGCCGAGGACGGAGCGGTAGGTCTGGCCGTTGTGCCGGCGGCCCGGGGTCCCGTCCTGGGACATAAACCGCACGCGAAGAACATCAACGGGGTAGAGAAGAACGGTGCTCAGGGCGGAGCCGCACTGGGAGGAAAGGGTGTGCTGGAGCGGGCTCGGCTTGGCGCGCCGGGGCTGGGGGGCCGCTGGGGACGTCATAAAGCTCCAAAAGGGGG